GAGAAGCAGAGGTCCTGGGAACTGCAGATGTGTAAGAGGGACTTGAGCAACGAGGTGGGCTTTTTTTGTAGCTAAGGCAAGGTTAAAATTGTGTAATTTTGTGAGGCACAGGTTAGGCTTGCAACAAGACTGCAAAAATCTGTTTAATTTACTGAGAGTATGCCCATATTGACACATGACACTGAGATGGTTAAAAAGATGGGATAAAGTTCATTTTTTTTAAATATCTTTTTAAGTAAGAAAGGTATGCCCACATTTAAAGCTGTTGATCATTGTTTTCTTTCCTTTGGGCAAGAAGGGAACAGAAACTAAACCAACACCCTGCCCCCAAAACCCCRTGCCCAAGACTTTAATCTGACAATTCCTCCCAGCTAAGGGTGATTCAGATACCAGTTCCTTTTTAGCTAACCACCAAACTTCAGCGGTTTGGATAAAAGGGAACCGTGGTCTGAGTCATCCAGTGTTAGTATTTGGTTGGCAAAGCCATGCCTGCAGGATTTTCTGTAAGTCAAAAAACTCCTCGCCTGTCTTGCAGAAGAGCTCCCACAACTTGTCTTGCTTTCACAAAAAAAAAAAAAAAAGCGTCTGCCATGTGATATTTTGACTGATAAATTTAATGTGGTAGCGATTAAACTGTGCTTTGTCAGTTTACTTTGTGTCTTGTTTTTTTTTTACTGAGAGATCTGCCTGTGAAGAGGCAGCAGCTATTTTTTTCCATAATTGCATCTGTTTCAGAGAGCAGACAGATGTTGGGCTGAAATTCATTACGGTATTCATAAAGCCCATTGGGATCTGATGACCTAGTAACATATAGCTACTGTTCCCTGCAAAGTGTTTCAAAGGATTCTTGCTTTGAATGAAGGAATAAATTTGCAGAAGATGGGAGGGAAGGGAAAAACTTATAGCAAGGCAGATGGCTGCACAACAGCAAGATACAATAGTTATATAAAACGTGAAGGTTCCATTTATTTCAATAAATTATTTTTATTTTGCAAAATTGCCAGCCAGCCTCTGTGCACGGGTATGACTGCAGCAGGCAGACACTGCCCTGGTATTCTGATATGAGGCATGGGCTGCTTCGTCTGGGTGCCACTGGGAAGAAAATAAATTCCTGCAAAAGTCCCAGTGAGTGGCATTTGGAGTAAATCAGGTTTTGTGGGAGWCCTGTATTTTGAGTTTTACCCTTGGGAAATGAGGTGGACATCCTGGCTGGGATTACAGTAGTCAGAGGCACTTTTTCCAGCTCGCCTGTCCACTCAGGARCCCTTTGGGAAGGAAGCTGCTTGGTCTCATTTTGGATATCCTGTGAAACTGAACTAGCACGGTTGCCAGGAACTGAAAAAAGTTATTTAATTTTTAAAGAGCTGAAACCTACTGTATGTGCTACTGAGTAGTCTACGGGAAATGACTGCTTTGGTTTGTTTGTCTGGATTTCTGGTATTTCCAGTTTACTCAGGGTAGCAAMCCCGTCTCTTGATCCTAATGCAGCAAAGTGCAAATCTGAAGGCAGATTCAGGTTTAAATATGACTTTTTGGCCCAGCCTTAATGTGTTTGGAATGAAGTGGGAATTTTCTTTAGTTCAAATAGGAGAAAGCATGAGAACTATTCAGAGCATAATCCAACAACCCATTGAAAAATAACAAGGTTTCACTGTGATTTCCAAGCACTGTAGGGATGGGCCCCAGGAATGCTGAAGATATGAAGTGGATTGGATTGGTAATTCATTTTTTTAGCCTCTTTTAACTAAATTGGAATGTAACTGGGTGTCCATGGCCTGAAACTTCCCTTTGCAGTCCAACACATTTTTGCAGCAGCTGCACTAAGCTATCCTGGTATTTTCCAAGGTGTGACCTGATGAAAGTATTCTCTGCTTTTCTGTGGCCATGGCACAGCACTCCTGGCACGGTGTGACTGCCACCAAGCCAGCACCCAGACATATCTGGGCTCCATACAAGCCTGTAAAGTCTTTTAATGAGCWATCTTAGCCAGCCAAGAGGTGTGCCCTGAAGAAATGTCTAAAATCTCCAGTTCATATAAAACCCAAAAGTAATGCAGAATTGGATTTGTATCCTGAAAATGCTGGGAAGCCCAGGCAGAGGGTTGGCTCTGGGGTCACAGATGTGGCATGAGCTGCTGAGCCTGGCTGTTCCCACAGCCCTGGGAGTGGCAGGGATATCCATTCCCTGAGCAGCATCTGGATGAGTATTTCAAGAAGATGACCATGTGTGCTGGAGTTTTTTTCTGAATGATAATTATTCTAAATTCACAGTTGAGAGAACTGAGAAATGCTGCTATGAGTCAGTTTGTCCTTTTCAGGCTAAACCCCCATTTTAAGAAGCTGTTATTTTCCTGTAGACCAGAAATCCTGCTCTCTTGTGAGTTATCCTCTTGTTTATTTCTCTGCCAGCTTCACACCTGTAACTGAGAGCCAATGTAAACAAAATTGAAGGAAAGAAGCCAGCAGCTCAATTCCAGCCTCAGCCTGAAACACTCCCTTCCTTTACTGTCACATCTGGCAGGGCCAGTTACTATTGGGATTATTATGGACCCAAATCTGTGTTAGGATGCTGGGAGAAGAGCTCAGGATTAGCCCAGTACTTGTGGGGTACAATGGCATTTCCTTTGCTGAAACAAAGGAAGTTCTTCCCCCTTCATTCTTGCACTTCCCTTTTAATACAAAACATCCTTTGCATGCACATAGACATTTGAAAGGTTTTTATGTTCAGGTCTGTGGTTGCTGAATTTGGCTTCAGGGCTYTGATTGCAGCTTTTGGAGTGGAAAGCTGCACTGATAGCATTTAATTGTCTCTTGTGTTTGTTATGCTTTGGTTGTTTGGCATTTTTTAATTGAATTTATTATTAAGGGAACTCATTCACTTTTTATTATTGGTAAGGAGAATGTTGTGGGTTTCTAGTTAATTAACAATTGCACTTACACATTGCATTTCTGATTCCTGGAGTTACTCTGCCACACAGCTTCATGCAGAAGAGCAAGGTGAACCTGCTCACAGGTCACAAGAGCACGAGCACCCTGTGTGATCAGGGCTTGGGGAAGGATTTGCCAGGAGCAGGGCAGGGCAGGAGGGCACGGGGGACACCTGGAGCACATTTCTGTGCCTGTAGAACCACTCAGCAAGCTGGTGAAGAACCCAGGCCTTGTAAATTTGGTTCTGCTCTGAAAAGCAGCCTTGTCCTGGTGCCGTTTGTAGCCTCAGCAGATCTGTGAATAYCGCTGACAAAACCAGCTGCTGGCTTTAACCTTCTGTTAGACCTGCAAGGCCTTGTTGGGTTAATGATGCTCTGCCTTCCTCAACAGCAAGGGAAGAATTGCTCAGCCTGCGGTGGTGAGAGTGGGGCTGGAGCACCCACAGAAACTCCCAGCAGGGTGCAGGGGGAAGGCAATGAAACGTGGTGATAAAAACACGYAGCAGAGACAAGCAGAGACTACAAGCCATGCTATACTTCTAAACAGAGATTTTCATCTCATTTTTGGGTAGAGTTTTCTGTCAAATAAAAGTTAATCCTAAAGTTGGAGCACTTGCCAGAGTTGAGCAAGGCAGGCAGGATTAATTCTTGCAAAGGATCTAAGAGATGGAGCAGGAGAGAGGGCGTTGGGTGGACARCAGGCGGGAGTTTCACACCAGCTCTCACCAGGGAGGCAGGAAGGAAGCGGAAAGTGGCAGGAGACAAAGGACAGCCTGAAGGTTAGAGAGAAGAGATAAATAGGGATTGTGAGAAATAATGCAAGCAAAAAGGCTAATGATGGATTTATGCGAGGCAGGAAGGCTCGAATGGGGAGCAAAGCTCTGGCTTGGCTTTGTCAAAGGTGACATGAGGGCCACAATTTTGTAAATGCTGCCCAGGGGAAAGCAGGGAGCTGGGCTGTTGCTGTGTGCAGATTTCTGCTGCATTGTACATCGCCACACTACACATTCAGTTCTTCCACAAATTTAGATTTTAACGCAGTGATTGGCCTCAACTCTCCAGCAGTGCCTCTCCATGGCCCATAGGCCAGCAGAGAGCACAAACCCAGGGCCATGTCAGCGATATCGTACCCAGCATGGGCTGCTCCACCAGAATGGTTTGAGGCTGAGTGATACACCAGCATTTCTTTCAAGGAAATTGCCAAATGCCTTTATTACAACACTGCCCCTCGCYGCTGGCATTGCAGCCATCCTGGTGTGCTAATGGCCCCAAAGACACTTTGACCACTTTGTCTTGATTTTATGTCTGCAACTGTGAAAGTACTGATTCGGAATTTCACCCCCTTTGCTTGCTCACTGTGAGCGGACAATGCCCTGAGCATCCTTCAGGGATGTTTAAGGACTTTGTCTCAGAATTGTGCATTTCTACTTAATTTTTGTCTCTAAATTCGAGGCCCAAAAACACCTTCAAGTCGTTTCAGCCTGTTACACCACGGCTGAACGGTGTATTCTGTCCGTGGTCCCAGTGACGGGGGCAGGAGTGGGGGTTATGGAGCCGCGGTGGAGCCGCCCGGGGCACTCGGGGCAGTGCCCTGTTCCGCGTGGGGCTGCGGGGCTGCGTGCACCGCTGGATCACCGCTGGATCACCGCTGGATCACCGCTGGATCACCGCTGGATCACCGCTGGAGCACTGCTGGAGCACAGCTGGAGCATCCCTGGAGCACCGCTGGATCACCGCTGGAGCATCGCTGGGAGCATCGCTGGGGGCACCGCTGGAGAACCGCTGGAGCATCCCTGGAGCACCGCTGGAGCATCGCGGCCGTGGGCTCATGCTCGCAGCGCCCGTCACCCGCGGGGAAGGGGCTGGCAGTGTCTCAGCGTGTGCGTGTGTATAAAATCCCTTTCTGTGCACGCTGTCACTGCAGTTTTTTGGGGACTTTGGGGGTTCCGCTGGAGGCGGCTGCACCGCCCCGTGAGCCGTGCGGGGATCCCCCGCTCCCGGCCCGGCCCTCCCGGCCCCGCGTGGGGCGGTCCGTGCCGGGGAACTCCCCCGTTCCAGCGGCGATCCCCCCATTCCCGCCCCACGGGCAGCCCGCCTGTCCGCGGCAGGTGGCCCCGACCCCCGCCGGCGCCGCACGTCACTTCCTCGCAAACTTTCCCGAGCTGCTCCCTCCGCCAAAGTTGCCGGCGGCGGCCGCCCGGGCCGGGGAGGGCGTTGGGGCCGGCCGGGCATGCCCGGCTCCCTGCGCCCGCCGGGGCACGGCCGGGCCGGCTCGGGCCGCCCGCGGCACCGTTAGCTCGGGGCGGGAGCCATGGCCCGCAGCCTGGACGGCATCGACCTGGCGGCGCTGCGGGTAAGGACGGCCGGGGCTGCCCCGCGGCGGGGCTGCGGCGGGCGGGGAACCGACGCCGGGCTCGGGGCTGCCGCTGCTCTTCCCCGCCGGGTGTGCGAGGCTTCCCCCGTGGTACCGCTCACGGAGGGGGCCCGGCGCTGCGGAACGGCCGTGCGGGGCCGTGGGGCATCCGCGGTGGAGATGGGGACAGCGGGCGATGCCTCCGTGCCCGCACGGGCAGCGCGGATACCCGAGGAGCGCGGGGGAGCAGCTTCGGGGATCCCCGGGTCCTGCATCCCTGGGGTTCTCCCGTTCCCGCATCCCCGGGGCTCTCCCGGTCCCGCAGCTTCGGAGCTCCTCCGGTCCCGCAGCCTCGGGGCTCCTCCGGTCCCGCAGCCTCGGGGCTCCCCCGATCCCGCAGCTTCGGAGCTCCTCCGGTCCCGCATCCCCGGGGTTCTCGGGGTCCTCCATCCCCGGGGCTCTCTCGGTCCCGCATCCCCAGTTTTTTTCCGGTCCCGCCGGCTCCAGGGGTCGCGCTGCCGTCGCCGGAGCGAGGGTCCCGCGGGAGCGCTGCGCTGCCCGGCTGAGAGCGCTGCACCGGGGAGGCTCCTTCCCCTGCCGGGGTAATAAATAATTCCTACCGACATCCCTGAAGGTGTCATGAATGCTGTGGAGACAAAATGAGAAATTAGGTTCTTTGGAAAAAAATATGTGCGTGGGGTTTGGGCTTTTTTTTGGCTTTTTTGTTGTTGAAGCTTGTGATATTTTATTTCCTCCCTCCAACCTAAAAAAGTCAGCATTCATCTAGTTTGCAGTGAATTTTTATTGTTATCCTCTTATGTTTTTAATGTAAGGCAAACTTTGGTCACATTGTAAGCTGTGCTGTCAGTGTTTCACATCCACGAAAAGGTAACAGGGCTGTGTGTGATGCCCCTGAGCTCCACTTGGCCTTTACGCAGGAGCTGACCACGGAGCAGAGCAGCCCTTCCTACCAGACAGAGCTTTTGTGGAGTGCTCTCAACAGAAGAGGAGGGAAGAGTTCAATTGTGGCGAAAAGCAGTCATCCCCAGACAGTGAAACTAAAGCAAGCTACTTTCTAAAAATACCAGGGGAAAAAAAAAAAAAAAAAAAAAAAAAAAAAAGAGGGCTGGGAGAAGACTTTGCAGTAATCACATGGCGAGGAGGGTGTTCCAGACTGGAGGCAGAAAGAAGAAAAGCAGCAGGGACAGTAAAGTTTGTGAGGATGGCAAAAGGCTTTGGGCTAAGCAAGCAGGAGTTTAATGTGGCTCTGCTTAGGGGTGTAAGGCAGAATCATGGAATTTTTTCTTTGGAGATTTAGCAGATGAATCTCACCTCCTTAAATAAGTAAGAAAATGTTGTAAGTTTGAAAAAGTGTCATTCTGCAAAGCTGACAGCAGGCTTTGTGTCACAACCATCTGATTCACAGCCTCCAAAGGCTGAGAGCACTGCAAGTTTCAGCCTTTTCAGGGGAAGGGATAAATGTATCCTTTTGGAAAAAACCTTTTGAACACGTCAGCAGCCTTAGTTTGGGGCTTGTGCTGAGTGGGAAATGGGAGGCAGGCGAGGCTGAGCTGTGGAAATGGTTTAAAGACCAGTGCTTTGCCTTGTCTGAGGTGTTCCTGGGGCCGCTGGGAGCTCCCTGTGCTCAGCCTCCCACAATTGTCAGCGGGGTCATTTTCAAACTGCAGGAGGTGACCCTGCTCCCCTCCAAATGGAAGTTTGCCAGGGTTTTCCCCTTTTCCTGGAAAGAAGGGGGCCTGCAGTTTCCTAATGTTGCCGGGTTGACCAGGGCAGCAGGTGYTGAAAAGCCCCTGAAGGCTGCATTRTGTCCTGGGGTGCAGAGATCCTGTAGCAGCACTCACTCTTCAGAAAACTTTATCTTGTTTAGCTGCAGAGATGTGGAAAGTGTGTTTTGGTCAGGTTCTTGCAGTGTGTGTCGCTTCTCATTCTCCTCTTGCAGAGGTGATGGATGTGGCCTGGGTGCCTCTGGATCAGCAGCCTTGGTTTGGCCTTGGAGCACTCTGCAGATGACTTGAGGGAAAGCAAGGTGGCCACCACATGGTACAATGTGTTAGGGGAATGAACCTTAGAGGGGTGAATGCTCAGGCCAGGATTTGGGCATCTTTCAAAGGGAATCCAGCAATTTGGCTGGTGAAGGGTTAGCTGGACCATGGGTTTGAGTGGTGGCTGAGAGGAAGCACTACATCAGAGATGATACCCAAATCCAAGATAATTAAAAAGTGGCCCATTGTGAAGAATGCCAGCAGACAATGCAGTGCTGATATCCAGGCAAACAAGGGCAATCCAAGGACCAAAGTCAGAGCCCAGATTAATATCCTTTATGACTCGTAACAAGCCTTGGTTCCCTCTGGTGTCCTGATTAAAAGAAGAGCAATGGCCAAGTGTTTTGGCTGCACTCAGCTGTGAAGGCTTGAGATGTTAATACTCAATTTGCCAGCAAGGACAGGGTAGGATTTTCACTGTATTAAAAGTTAGTGCTAATATTTATTTAGGTAGTTGTTTGGGTTTTTCCTAGAGTGTCAGAAGCCTTCAGAAGCAGTCTGTTAGGATGCTAAATCAGAATGAAATATATTGAGGGGGGGAAGAGAAGATAATTTTGAGGCACTTAAATTACTGTATTTGCAAAATAACTAAGGTTGGAGAATAAGAATGAAGGCAGCACACATTGAAGTGAGAGGGACAGTTGCAAAGTCTGAGTTAAATATTCAGTTTAGGTTCYTCTGGGTTTCTGTGCACTGTGGGCTCTTCTTAATTCAGCAGTGCTGCTTTTTGCAGAAGAGGTGAGGAATTAGGGTGCTGCCCGTGCTTCCCATGGAGTTCAGTAAATATTGTGCATGAAAGCTCTTACTGGAAGAGTTCCTCAGAGAGCTGCTGGGGGTGTCACTGCCTGGACCACGAGCAGCCCACTGCACAGTCCTGTGGGGAGTTTGCACGTGGAGCAGAGGTTTGTACTACCCAGCAGTTGCTTTAGCAGTAGCAATGGAATATTTGTGACTTTAGCCCCACTGAAGCAATGTCTGTCTCATTTATACCCAGACTAGTGAAAATGTAAAATGAGGAAATGAGAACAAAGGAAAACACTTCACTGAGATCCAGTGTTGTAGGCATTCCTATGCCTGGATCCAAGTCCGTATGTGAATGTTACCAATTTTAGTTCTGTTTTGAATGAGGGCTTTTGGAATTGGGGTTTAAGCCTAGAAGCTTACTAACTTGTTTTAAAATAAGAGACAGAAAAAAAAATACACAGACTGGCCTGCATGGGTCAAAAGTAAGTCATCTTGATCTGGTTATGCATTGCATTTTTTAAAAAAAAAAGTGTTGTAAGGTTGACAGTCCAGGAGGTTTACGATTAAAACTCATTTAAGTCAAAGGTAAAACCAAATGAACTCTTTCAGCTGTGGAAGTCTGGGCTATGTTGCTCTGAAAGCTCTTGCCATTTATCATGACAGTTATGCCAATAAAGGCAGAATCTGCTCAGAAAAGAAGCCTGTATGTTTCCACTGGGATTTTGCCAAGGCAAATATTTCCATATCAGATATGAAGAAAGAATTACTTATATTAAAACATTAACATATAAGTGGAGTGGAGAGAGTAGCTTGATACCTTTAAAAAAGGGATGTTTTGCAACCAGGGGCTTAGAAATTGTATTTTTGAGATAATATTTTTCTGTATCACATCCTTCAGCAGTACCAACAGGCATCAACTGACATGACAGATTGCTGAAACAGATGTGGTAAAACTGACACATGGAGTTAATAATATTTTATATAAAACTCTCAGTGATACCATAGCAAGAAATGARCAGAGTGATAAATGGCTTAGCCAGAAACCAAGAAACTGGTCTCTTGAGTTCTTAATGGTTTTATATAAATCTCTCAAGTGAGGTTTTTAACTGAAGCACCAGATTTTTTAATGTACTCAGTCATTCAGGAGTGAGCATTGCCCATGCCTTGGAACAAGATGGGCTGTCTGTACCTGGGGGCTGCAGCGTTGCTGGAGGAGAACATCTGCAGTGGTTGGTGTTGGAACAACTGGTGCTGTAGCAGGAGGRTGGAAAATGGTTCAAGTGGAATGGTACCTTCATCACCTGACTCATTAATCTTTTATGTAAATTAACAGCAATCTAGTTTGGGTTCAAAGCCAAGGGATTAATACCTGGGTCAAATTCACTTTGTTGTGTTTGCAGAACAGAGCGTTGAGTGCTCTCAGCCTGTAAGTTAAGCTTGCCTGGGTTGGTGCATTTCCCTTCTCCAAGGTAACTGGGGTCAGGTACTTCACACTGTYGTTTTTTCAGTTCTGCTCTTTAGGTTTTTTTCCTGGGTTGCACAGCTCCTGCCAAGTGTTTCCCAGCAGAGAACAGCAGCTCAGCCTCCAGGCTAGCTCAGTGTGGTAGGGCTTAGGAATCCTGGAKGTTTTTCCTTGTTCTGCTGGTAAGCTGAGTCAGCAGTTGAGTTCTTGTCTTTTTCACACACCTTCATTTACCTCTTGTATCTGCTGTAGTGCCATCCTGCAAATCTTACTGAGTTGTTTTGTGTATAGAGTTTTGTGAAATTTGTCTAAAAACTTTAATGCATTTCTTATCCTGTGATTTGTGAATTTCCCCTTTATTGTGCAATGCAGATCATTAGGAGATGTGCCTCAGAATTTCATTTTGATGGTCTACAATTACTCTCTMTTATGAAGTGGTTGCTCTAATCCAAATAATGTTATTTCTTCTGCTTTTTGCAGGACCCTGCGGGAATATTTGAACTGGTGCAGGTTGTTGGAAATGGGACATATGGACAAGTCTATAAGGTTTGGATGACTCTATAATTTATGATGCTGTAAAGCTGTATTTGCTGAAGCAGAAATGAGCACCATTTAAGAAGGCTGACAGTTTTTCCAGTAATATTTGGTAATAATGGTTTATCTTGCTTTCTTTTCTGCATAATGCAAAATGCTGCAGCCTGTGAAATTCTCCAGCCCTTCCTTCTGTCCTGTTTTTGTGTCTCTTTGCTGCCACAGGACACATAAACTTATTGGCTTTTCTACCGACTTCCTCTGCCCTGGTTTTTTTTTTTTTTCCTGTCCCTTATTTCTGTGCTTATTTTCTCTTTTTCAAGATTGTTAAAAAGGTGTCTGGCAGAAATTTACATCAGCGATGGCTAAATTTGGCCTGGATTGAGTGGAGCTCAAGACTCAAACAGCGAGACAGAGGTGTCAATTAACCCTGCTCTGCAGGCAGGCAATGAACTCTTTGATTTCTGTCATTACCTTTGTCACTGCAGTATCAAAGCAGAGCCACCAGTCAAGAAACTACAGCAATTAACATTGTTTGCCACAGCACAGTGCTCAGTTTACTTTAGTTACAACAAGTAGCCTGGAAAAGTGTTCTTTCACTGGGAAGCCTTCCTTAAAAATGATTTAAGAAAGGGGAATAGTTGTGATTTAAATAGGGAACCAAGTTGCCATGTGGAGAATGAAGACAGAGGAAGGAAAGGGCCGTGTGCTGAGCCCTTGGAGGTACATCAGAAGAGCAGTGGCACAGGAGTGAGTGTGGTCTTGCTTCTCCCTGAGGTCCCACTGCTGACCAGTCCCTGCCTGGCGAGTCCTTGTGTGGGACAGGCTCTTTGTGCCGGGAGAGATTCAGGGGTGCTGTTGCTTTTTACCTGTAAAAAGAACCCAAACGTCTTGAGTTTTCTGTGAAATAGTTGGCTTTTTGTGTCTGGATTTATTTTCGATTGGGCAAGAAAAATTTAAATCTTGTCATCTTTTATGGATGTTGAGCGTGCATCAGCTGCCTAATGATGGCAGAAGCAGGAAGGAGCGCGTGTGTGTTCTCAGGAGAGCTGCTGCAGGGGAACAACTGCTCTGCAGGGCCATGAGAAGTTAGGCTGAGTCTCACTTTTCTTTTTAACTTYTGTGTAGTCCACTGGTCTATAAAATGCTAGGACTGATAGAGTGAATAAATGGAATCCTGGAATAATTTTGCAGTTTGTCTAGTATAGGCTTGTGATCATAAATATTCAAGTCATAAAGTAGTCTCTGTTATCCATACACTTTACCCATATCATTAGAGCACGTTTTTATTCTCCAGGGGTGTTAARTTCTTCCATACATTCAGAAACYACACAAGGAAATTTGCACATATTCRAAGAAAAGCTTATTTTAGGCTAAATAAATTATATTCAGAATTACTAAATTGCTTTGTTGTCTGTGAAGATGATTCATATTTTAATATATGCAACTCCATAAAAATGAAAATAAAACTTTGAGGATTCATCATTAGATTTGGAAAACAATGTTTAGCAGATTTATTGAAGGAGAGTATTGTTCATACTAAATTATTTCAGACCAGTTCCAGTTCAGGGTCTTTTAAAATGAAATGGAAGAGGTATAAATTGTACCCATAATAATGCTAAAGCTGTGTGAAAATGYTATAAAATTGGGATTTGTGTATAATAACTGACTAAAAGCCAGCAGATTTTTTTGACAACTCTCAGTGTTCTCTGGGAGGAAGTGAGGGGTGACGGTGTCACCTGTAATTTCTTGGGATCTGCTGAGATGGGAGAGTTGTGAGTTCTTTGCCTCACAAACTCCCGTGTGTTTTACGGGCTCCATGGCTCTGTAGTGCTGGATGGGGATGGTGCATCACCCTTGGTGTAGAGCAGTTGTGTCTTGATCTGTTCTTGTGTGTTTAGGAATGACTAAACCCTATTTTGGAGGAAGTGAAATATTTTTTTCAAAGACTTCTGCTGTTAGTTTCATAATCTTTGATGAAAGGTGTRTCTTCTGTAGCAGCCTGTTCATTATTTTCTGTATTCCAGTTTTCAGTGCAGGGTCGTTTTTCTGTGAGTAAATGGGGAAAGGGAGATGTGGGGGCAGCTGAAGAGGTTGCTGTTTTTGAAGTGTTTGGCTGACACAGTTCTTCCTGAGCCCTGGAGTTWATAGCCACTCTGTTCTTTCACTCCTCAAGATAAAGAGGAATTGTTCCTAATCCTCCCCATTCAACCATGCTGAGAGYCCTCATCCTTCAAAAGTTTTCATGGGCCAGATGAGGTCAGCAACATCATCTGTGCAGTCTGCTTGTTTTCTCATGTCCAGAGGTACCTGATTGGGGATTTTGTCTTCCTTTGTTTCAGGATGTGGATTGGCCTTCTCCTGGGCTTGGCATTTTTGAGTGAGAAAGGGAAGGAGAGGCCGATGTCTTTGGATAGTTCCAGGGGCTGGTGATTTTTGGCACATGATCTTGCAGGCTGGTGATGAACCCTGACAGATTTGCAGCTGCTGTGTGTGCAAAACAGAGTCTGAGGGCCTGGAGAACTTGAGAGAGGTGTTTTGTTTGGAACTGTGAGAGTCAGGAGGGAAGATGAAGCTTCCCAGTAATGCAGCTGGTGAAGAAGCAGCAGCGCTGTTGCTGTGGCTTAGCAGGGGTGGAAGTAACCCTTCTTTCCTGTAGTGGCCCTGCACAACTGATATTTTTATTTCTTTGCAGTCACATAAGGCACTGGATGCAAAAAGGAAGCAGGTCTCAGTAAGGAAGTGTATGGGATTTTGGTTGGGGTTTTTTTGTTGTTTTTTTTCTTTTTTATCACAGCTGATTTTTGGCTTTGAATTGTGCTTCAGTTGCTGACGTGAGCTATGAGTTACTCTGCTGTTGATGTACAGTGGCAGGAGTGCAGCTAAACATAAATAGAGCTTTTCCATTTATCTTAAACAATTTCTGTTAAGTTCTTCATATTCCATTTCGCTGAATAATTGGCTGAAGTAATTTGTGTTGGGAGTGGTGGGGAGAAGCAGGATGGGGTTCTTTGAGACTGGGCAGTGCATGGAATGAATCCGCAGACCATGCTAAGTTATGAAGTGTTATAGATGTGAATGTGTCTAAGCTGAGAACTTCAAAACCATCCCTTCTGTGGGTGGATCAGAAGTTGCCACTTTCTAAAGATTGTGTCTTGGGGCTGAAGTGCAATTTCAGAGTCTCTGAAGAGCTGCAGAGACGTTGAAAATGATGCATAATCCTGGGTTGTTTTATCACCGTTTGTGGTCAGTTAGAGTTTCCAAGCCATTCTGAGTCTTCAAGGCACTGAGATTTTGATGAGTCAAGGAGGGAAATCAGTTGTACTCTACAGAAATGACAAAATGCTACTCTCTGTTTCACCAGCAGCTGGTAAAACACCAGCTTGTTTGTCTGCTTTATTTCAGTTTTTGGTAGAAGAGCTGGTTATCTTGTCCCCATGACAAACATTCAGTGGGTTGAAGAAAGGAAAGGCTGAAGGAATTGGATTTTTCCAACCTAGGGCAGAGAAGGTTGAGGGCATTCTAGTCACAGTTTAAAGTGCTTTAATGATGGTTTGTATAGGAAGTGCCAGTACAGGGATGCACMGGGCAAATGGATTGCTCAGGGAAAATTCCATTTGGATGTAAGAATTGGGATTACTAACTTGGAGGATACAAAAAAAAAAGTAGGAGGAATAACTTTGATCTGAACTGTATATATAAAATAGTTAGCTTATTTTGTGCATTCAGTTGTCAGACCCAGGAGCATTTTTGTGCTGAGGTTTTTTAGGGTTTTGGCGTTGTGTTTGGGTTTTTTCAATCTTGGCTTCCCTGCCTATTTGCATGGCAGTGCCAAACTATATTCAGCACTGGATTTTACAATAATGGATCAAACATGCGAAATTAATTAGCAAATTGTGAAGTCCTGGTTCTAGTTAGTGAATATTTCAGAGGAACTCAATTAAGATTCTTAAGAGTTAGACTAGTTKATCAAAAATAGATGAGTAAGGATGTGAAAAAACCTCTCAACTGTGGAGTGCCTGTATACAATAAAGGCTCTGGCTGAACAGAGCAATGTACAATAATTAGATGTGCCATATCAGCCATTAGAGAGTAGTGAAATCCTTGCAAATAATTTGTTGGCAGGCCTGCTGCTTTCAGGTCCTCCATGTTTTGGACCTAAAAGTCCATGTGGGAGAGTACAATGCATTTTCATCCTGAACTGTTGGCATTTTGAGCTCATGTTGCGTAACAGTTCAGATTTTGTCACTGGGTCATGCTATTTTGAAGGTAAGAGAACGTGCTAAAAATGCACTGGTGGTAATATGAGCACAGTAGGAAATAGTTCAAGCTCTTCATTCCCTGCTTGAGCACTTTGCTGTGCTTTGAGAACCTCACTATTGACATTGATTTCAGTAATCCTGACTGCTCAGTAGCATCCAGAATCTGACAGTGCAGATACAAATCTGAGTGRCCAGTGCTTCATGGGTTCTGAGTTTTGCTGTTTCTGACCTACTCACAAATATTTTCATTGTACACATTATCTCTTCTTCAAAATGAATYAGTGGAAGTGGGTGAAAACTTATAAGAAATTCTGTATTTGCAGTCCAGAAAACCTTCCAGAYACGTAATGAGCTATGACAGTCACAGAGTGAATGACAGGATGTTACTCARTTTTAAACAGCAGCAGATTTAATGTGTTGTTTATCGGTGTTTGAGCTGATTCCCGTGGCAGGTTAGCTTTAGTAWCAACATTTTTCAAAATGAACTGCTGGACTTCAGAGCCTGGTGAGGACATGTCACCTTAGCTCTGCGACTCTGATTCTTTCTTGGAGCTCCTTATGAATTCTACTTTCCAAAYCTGCTTTAATGTCCTGGAAAATGCACTTTTTTTGGAAGTCCTTCTTTGGTCCCCTGGGCTATAGCTAGTAAAGCATCATAAAAGGAGCAACGTGTCAGCTGGTTTCCTAAAATTGAAGAAAAAACTATTTTTTAGCTGTTTGTAGTACRCTTTTTATTCTTCAAAGCCTGTGCAT